CAAAATTACGAACCGAGACATCTTTACTGTATGACATTTAACATTTTAATCAGCGAAAACATTAGTAAAAAATACGAGTAAATTAATCCGTTGCGATATATGTAACATGATCTAAGCAAAGCAACAGTTCATTGGAGGCGGGGAGCTATAACTGTGACAACATTTCAAAATTCAATATCGGTATTATTTGGTAACAAGTGATACCACTTCGACATTCGCGGCAAAAAAACTTATTTTAAACTAGATAAAGTCAATTTAGAAATGACTACATCAAGATGATATATTCCGGAATTGAAAGATTATTATGGTTTCAACTTTCACAGGAGCTAATTGTCTTCTTCCGGGAAATGTGGTGACCTGGGCACAAATTATAATTTGTGTAGTTTTCGAGTTATCCTCTATCGTGACATGGGTTATATTTATTAATAAGAAACTATTTTGGCATTTTACAATATATTCAGCATAATAAACGGGGTTAAGTGTTTTGATCATCGTTTATTAATAATATATTCAACGTGGTGTTTCCGATTGGGTCATCTTTTCACTAGACCAGCGGAAAGCAACTTTTTGCGGTTTGCGTGCCGAGACGACTAAAATCAAAGGCCAAAATCTTCCGCGTGCAAACTAAAATTTGTGAGAACATACTACTGACATTTTTGAGATATTTGTGCAAAGCCAAACAGTTAAAATACAATGAACTAAAATAGAAGCAGATGACCAAACAAATACATAATACATTTTATAGTTTTATCGCTAACAGCAAAATATTTACCAACCCCCAATTTTGGAACGAACTCCCCAAAATGGAAAGCTGGGGAGCATAGTATTACGCTTGTCTCCATAGATAGATTATATACTGAAGTAGCTTCTTCTGTTCAATACTAAAATATATCACAGTACTGGTACAGCGCATTAGCAGAATGTCTTGTTTTAGGGCAGGAATAAAACAAGACAGGAATGCCACACCAAGAGTCGCAACTACGAATGAGGTTTGAGAGATAATAAGCTGGAGTCGCAAATAATTAATAGGGTCAGTGAGGTATCGAAAAAGATGGCTGTGAGCAAAACAATTTTGTCTGGTTGATATAGTTTGGGAATTATTGCTGAATCCTTGTGGAACAATTTACTCAGTACAAAATTCTCGGGCAATAAACACTACTTAAAACTTAGTCAATGAACGTTGCTACAGCTGACACTGCTCGCAAGTCGCAGCTGGAATAATTTCGCTGTTGGTATGAAGTTTTGCAGTTGAAGGTAAAGGATCGAGTATTGTACGTTCTGCCATGAGAGTTACATTCAATAGCTGATAATACCAGATAACATTCAGTCTCTGCCAGGATGTAACCACCAACACACTTATTTTTGTACAGCTAAATCTTTGCTGATATAATTCTAACTCCATAACTTTATGAAAAAACAAATATCTCCAAAGCACTCATATTGCAGTATAAATTATATTCCTATGTTATAATGCACTGATACCCATACTTCAAATTTCAGTTACACTGATATCAATATTGCTGCTTTATTTTATTACCGCGGACATATAAATACAATGTTCTGGATTGAACGAGATAGAAATAAATACCCAAGTATTGAGCCTATTTGCAAAAAGAAAAACATACCTATCAGATCGTCAGAAAGAGCTTTTTTGAATAAATATCTTTAACTCAGATGCATGGACAATGTGTCACTATTAAGGAGTTGTTAAAACAGTCACACACTATGATGAATATTGTGCACGTTTCAACATCACTCATCTTCATTAGGCAAGTTGAACTCAAATATGCAGTTGACAGCCAATCTGTCACCACATTCATTTATTCTCAAAGTTAATAAAAACCACAATTTGCAACAATGAAAATCAAAACTATTATTTTTTATCCTCAATACAACAAAAAGCCTGAAAGTATTTTAGCAACAGTTGAGGTTTCAACACGTCAAAATTCGGCAGGAGGTTGAGAAACTAAATTATCTGTTATTCTGTAGCCGTGTTCAACATTGATCAGCATGTGGTCATCGACCACATACAACAGAAGATAACTTAATTCAGATCTATAATTCTCTAAATTCAAACATTTACGGTAAATATAAAGTCGCTGGACTCTGACTCTCACACGTCCTGCAATTTTAATTACCAAAATGCACATGCGATTGTCCTGTCTGGCATTTTAATATTGTAACAAAAGTATGAATAAATGAAAATTGAGAGTTGAAAAAGGGTAGCTGAAGACAACTGAACAGTATGTAAATAACAACGGGAAGGCTTATCATAAAGGTAAAAGGTAACGAGGCCCGATGGAAAATAATTGAAGATTGGCCGAACTCTTAACTTAATGCTTCGATTATAACATTTCTAAGGTATCAATGCGTCGTACATGCAAAACTATTGCGACACATATTTCTACGTCAATGAGAACGGATCAGTGTTTCTCAACCTGTAGTACGCTTACCACTAGTGGTACGTGGGATATTTTTAACTGGTGCGCAAGCAGCATTGAATTATTACCAACAATTTACTTTTAAGTAGGCCAAAATATAGTGCTAGCGCATTCTCTTTATTTTCCATACTGTATGTATTTGCTGAGCGGGTTTATAGCACTGCCAGTCGTTGTCTTAAGAGATCGCTCTCGCCCCCGCTACTTCCCACCTACAACAAAACGAGGCGGGCATGTTTTCACCGGTTTGCGAGTTACATATACTTATACATACGCAATGCATCTGCATTGAGAAAGCGCGGCAACGGAGGTGGCCTAATAGTGTGAAGATATTCTAATGGTGCCTTCATACACCATATAAACGTTATTATTGCTACCTTGTGTATGTGTTGATTGATCGACATAATCTTAAGTTTTAACGCTAATTAATTTGGAGACCATGGTTTTCGTTTGCGATCAAGTGTATTCGCTCGAGTTTTGCGATAAACAAACGATGGCAATGAATATAGCCCCGCAGCTTTGACGGCAAATGACTTAAGTTCCCATGTGACCTTGCAGGCGATTAATACAGTACATTGTAACCGAACATAAATATTACGTTGAAACTTTACACGAATGTCTAAAAATGGATGCAGTGCCATATTATAAAATACTATCATAGCGCGTTTCTTGTGGCATTGTCTGTGGTATGCTGCCAGACTAAAAACACTGAAGTGGTACGCAGCCAGTAAATTGTTAAGAACCACTGGAATAACATCGCTCAACATCAATACTTTCATGTAAACACTCAAATTAGCCTCATTTGCCTATGTGTTTCCTATGACTCACAAAATCAATGCTTTTCCCAAGAAGGGACAAAATATAGCACATCCAGGTTACCAAATATTGGTATAATTTTTCGAAGTATACTTAGTGTATATGTATAATCCGGCATTTCCATAAATTCTTTGTTTTGATTTAAGTATTGTTGGGGAAGTGCTAAAAGTCTGGAATGCCAACACCGTCAATCTTTCAAAACCAAGATATACCCGGTGTTGACTTTTGACAGAGTTTAGGACATTTTCGCCGATTCGTATTGCAAATAGCAAAAACGTTACGTGTCTCTTTCTAAGTAAGATTGGAGGTATCTCCCAAATTATTCGCGATAACACAATCATTGAAAACGTCAGTATATCTCCACCTGATGCCGAAAATAAATTAAGATTTCACCCTGGATAATTCTGATTTAACCTCTCTTTACTCTTTTTGTTGGTTAAGCTTTTGGCAACATTCATTTTAGCCAAAGCCTTTGTTAACAAATCTATCCCAGCCCCGACTGACTTGGATATTCACAAACTTCGCAATAACAAATATAATGAAAACTAAATTACTGTAAGCTTGAATAATCAGCCGCTATACATACAGTGATTCAACGTAAACGCAACGCATTTCCTTATGTGTCAGGTTTCTCTCTAACGCGTCGAAGCTATAGATACGTGAATACGTGGGACAGGAAATTGAGTCAATCCTTGTATAAGATTACTAGTGTGTTGAACACGTAGTGGACATAACGATCGTTTCCATATCATGTTTTTCGTCATGATTATCATTAAATGGTCGCTTATCTCTTCGAATACTGGACCAGATTTTTTTTTGCCAGAAGGCTATTACTTTTATTTATTCCCAAATTTTCTATGAGATATGATATTTCATTCAAAATTTCGCTGTTTTAACATTTACTCATGGGAACACTGTTTTGAAACTTATTTCAAGCGGTTGTGTGATCAAGCTTGCAGGTACGGTACTGCTAAGTTACCGTACCACAGAGGAAGTGACTTATTCCTTACGCGATCTTACTATTGCAGTAATGTAGGTTATCTAGCAAATCTAGCTTACCGTATTTGTTAATTTTGATAAGAGCAAATTGAATTGAGTTTTTATATGCCAGAAAAGTCACTCTAGAGCAGGGGTGTGCAACAGGCGGTCGGCGGGCCACAACCCAGCCCGCCAAGCCATTTAGTGCGGCCCTTGTCAATACTCTGATTTTTACCCATCAAGCATAAAATCTCAATCCGACAGTTTAATTAGACCTGACGATTAAGACCTCGTGTATATTTTAAGTAGCTTAGATAGAAACAGTAATTTGATTATGACAGTACGTGACGTAAGCATTTTTTGGAATTGTGGTTTAGACCCGTTCAGTTATAAGCTCTGTCTAGAAGATTACGTTTATAGATAAAATGTGCTATCTCACTAGGCAGAAATTGTTGTTAGTCACTAGTTTTCAAGAATTTGAAGCAGTTCAGTAGCCTATTTTGCTAGTTTCGTGAGGGTGATATTTTTTTGATAATTTCAGGGCTAGTAAAATGTCGGTAGCTAAAAAGCGAAAAATTGATGAAGAAGGAAGGGTATTCAACAGTGAATAGTGTACAAATTATTTTGTTGTCCCACACAACCAAAGTGCTGTCTGCCTCGTTTGTCAAAGTATTATTGCAGTTATCAAAGAGTATAATGTAACGTCATTACATAACTAAGCACTCCTCCCAGTTTGATAAAATTTTTGGCCAGGCACGAGTAGACAAAATGGAACATTTAAAAAAATCCATTGAAAAACAACAAAGTGTTTTTACCACTTACAAGAAGGACTCAGAACTGGTGACAAAGTTGAGTTTTAAACTTTGTGAATGTATGGCAGAAAAGGGAAAGCCTTTCAGTGACGGAGATTTTATTAAAAACTGTTTGACAATATTTACAGAATATGCATGCCGAGAGAAAAAACATTTGGAGGAGCAAACCAGCCTTTCCCGCTTTACTGTTTCCTGCCGAACAAATGATCTTTCAGATAATATCAAAGAAACTTTGAAAGAGAGATTGAAATCGTGTGAAGCTTTCAGTCTGGCATTGGATGAGGGCACTGATATCAGTGACACAGCCCAACTTGTCATTTTCATCAGAGCTGTTACTGCTGGCTTTGATATTGTTGAAGAGTTTTTAGATATGGCCAGCCTTTACTCCACCACCACAGGACAAGATATCTGTGAACAAGCGCTCAAGGTTTTGAAAACGTTTGAACTTAATACTGCTAAATTGTGTGGTGTTACAACAGATGGTGCTCCTTCCATGACAGGTAGGACAAATGGATTTACCAAAAAATTTCTAAATGCGTTGAAGCGGTTGGACTTTTCTGCTGTACGTTGGCTCAGTAGAGCAGCCACTCTGAAGAGGTTCTGGAATCTGCAAAAGGAGATAAAGTTCTTTATGGAGAGCAAACATCAGAATTTCGCCTTCTTGAGCAATGAGAATTTGTTGAATGACTTAGCATTCATCACAGACATTACACAGCATTTGTATGATCTGAACATAAAACTACAAGGAAAAAGCCAGCTTGTGAATAAGATGTTTAAGCATATTTGTGCTTTTGAGAAGAAATTGGAACTTTCTCAGGTTCAGATAAGTAAAGCAATATTGACTCATTTTACGTGTCTTGCAAACAGATTTACAGATCTTGGACAAAATGGAATTAAATTGAAGTTGTTTGCTCAACCCTTTGATTTGGTAGTGGAAGACTGTCCTGATGGTTTCCAAATGGAACTCATTGAGTTGCAGGCTGATATGGAAACCAAGAGAAAATATTCTGAAAACAATTTGGTAGATTTTTACAAACTCTATGTTTGTGAAAAGTATCCCAATTTGTTCCGTCATGCAAAAAGAATGACCTCTCTCTTCGGTAGCACCTACTGCTGTGAACAATTTTTCTCCAAAATGAAGCTCATCAAAAACAGATGTAGAAGTCAGTTGACTGACGAGCATTTGACCAGTCAGTTAAAGGGTTGCTACAACTTCTGTCAAAGATGATGTTAACAAACTATGCAAGAGCTCAAAATTTCGAGTGTCCCACTAAAATTTATATGAATAAAATTTTGTATTGAGAATTTTTTTATTCGTTGTGTACATGTGGCCCATCTAGATGTCTGAAGTTAGTTATATGACCCACCGTCAAAAAATGTTGACGATAAAATCATAAATAGCCGTTTCTTCAGAAGTTTGCCTCAAACTCACTATTTCTGCAAGAAACCCCAATAATGTCGTAAGATAACTAGCAAAAATAAACAATTTTTGTACTGGTAATTACAAGAAAGTCTATATTAAATAAATGTGCGGCCCGCGGATTCACCCAGTTAGTTGAATTTGGCCCACCAGTGAAAAAGGTTGCACACCCCTGCTCTAGAGTGATTCTGGCGTTTGGAGGCCGTTGAATTCCGTCTCGGGGCGGGAAAGCGGTTGCCCGAGTATTGGGAATTTTTCAATTGGGGTGGGGGCAGTGCCTCCAACAAAATTGTAAGTCTGTCAAGTTAGGTAAAATAGTAACGTTGTTATATTGTTGTGTCATAAAAGTCGTAACAGCATTGTTTCCAAACCATACCATAGGTATTCGTTTATTGCTGGATTGAATTAAAGCCTGCATTATTATAATTTTCATCGCTGAAATGTCAGTACGTTTTTGCGACTGTTTGTGGCTTGACAGTTCACCGAACAAACATGCGGTTGGTTAGTCATTCCTGACCTACACAATGGATGGTGGATAGTGATAAATGTGGATTTTGAACCTTATTTTACGAACAGACCGATTCAAAAAATAACCTCCAATTAGATAGTGTAATGATTCATTATATGCGTTTCAAATGCAATATTCATTCTCGTAGGCTCCGGCGATCACAATTACCCATAGTTCCATCGTTACATGTGTTCCGTCTCTTTTGGTTGCGACCTTGCCGGCGAACGTCCGTTTCAGTCAGTTGTACGTTTGCTCCAGGTGTTCGTATCAGCATTTCGTGTGGAATTTGCCTGGGACGTGTTCGGGTAATTAAGCTAATATATATTTACTTGTATTTTCTATTATTTCGATTTGTTCTGTTTTTCTGTTTACATGGCATAACATAATCGACCTGGTCTTCTATATTAGAAGCTTGAAGCTGAGAAAAAAATAATAGCTGTGATCACTTTTCTCGTGATATGTTAGATACTTAGGCGTATTATTTTATCTTTCTTATTTTAAAATGTCTTCAGGTTATTTCTTTGAGTTGAGATGTCAAATTCCAGTGAACATATTCGCTTATATTTTTCCATCTTAGCAGCAAGATGCAGAGAGGAGAGTGTGACGAATGAGATAAGTTAAACATTTCAATATTAGAATGAGTTTTAGTGTTTAGCATCGTTTTATTTCAATATATTCAAGCCTAGATGTTAACATCCGAACACGTTTGTCTCACGCGCATAATGACAACGATGCCTTTCGGGTCGTTCTGGTACGATTATGTGTACCGGTTTGAAGTATTTGACTTACGGTAGTTGACTCGTATTAGTGTTCAAATGGAAAGAGGACAACTCGCTTTTAATCGTTCTTGATATAACCATTTGAAATAAATTAACGTATATAATATCATGCTTTGAATGAGCTTACTTAGTGGCGACTAATATCGGTTGTAAAATAACGAAAGCGAGTAGATATCAGTCTGTAGCTAGAATTCCATTTGTGCGGAAGAGAACAGATGGGCACTGCCGCTGAATTTAACTATTGAACTTAATCGTAGCATGAATGGGCTGAATGACATACGGCCTCAGCCTATAACCAGCACTACGGAATATTTTTGAGACAGCTCACTTGCTTTACGAATCATTTGATAGGTTTTGTCTATAAATATTATATATCAAAGATCTACTTACTCGTTGCATATCTGTAGTGTATTTTGCCTTTAGATCTTTATAAACAAGCACCAAGTTTCCATTACAACATTACTTTATTATAAGAGTCAAGCACTTCAACATTAAGACATGTAAAACACCATAGCAGTGAGAGACTAAACAGCAAGTCGGCACTCAACACGTGCACAGATAGAACAAGAATGACCTACTCGGATATACAAGGTCAACCCAGTCTGGTCAATAGCGCCACCTAGCGGTATCACATATAATATACAACAATAACAGTAGATATCTTTTAGCACCTCAGCTCCTCCTTTCAATAGCCTTAGGCCGTAGCTTTCTTATCGCTCACGCTTCTAATTTCCTTAGGCTGGGGTATCTCCGCCACATCCGACTCTGTTTTGACGCTTACCACACACTCATACATTTTGCAAAAGTGCTGTTCCTTTTTTTTTGCGCTATGCTATTGAAACATCTGTAGAAACCTCCCCAAGTGATTTAATTTCTACATCAAATATTTCTCCCTTGTTGACAACGTTGGTTTGTTAAGTCGCTTTTTGAATAAGAATATTTGTCGCGCACTTTGTGGCGGCCGCTTGTGTACAACCAGTCATAGCTGCAACCCTAGCAACAAAATTCAATTCTTACTCGGAGAGTACTGTTAAAATATTTGCCAACTCCACTGACGCAGTAATAAGTTGCGTTTAAGTAGACACTAAGGGTGGAGATCAAAAACCTCACTTAACTTAAACCTGGATTAAGACTAATCTCGGATTAGTTAAACTCGGTTTAACTTCGAAAGTTAAACGGAGATCAAAAACCCAGTTTAGCGGTTACTTAACTAATCCTGGTTTAAGTCCGACGCCACGAGGCATTTCATCAAAACGTCGTGGCATGTTGCTCTTTGACCTCGTATTCCCATGGCGATGACAACGCGAACCTGATTTTGTTGTAATTTGCTGTCTTTGCAAAGTCAGTTTTTGATGTATTTCGTTGATTTTGCCAAAGCAAAACAAGCTGGGCGGCAGACCTACGAAGAGCTGACGCGCATTACCCGAAATGTCAAAATAATAACAATTTATCATAAATCCAACCTTTTTGGTCGAAGGGACACGTGATTCATTAATAATTGCGCGGGCCACTTGACATGGTAGTTATGATCTAGTTTGCTACACTACTACAGGTTAAAAATAAAAAAAATACCCTCACATCAAACTTTCACAATTATTAGAACAATAAAACTTGTTTTCCAACCATTGACGGGCGCCATCAGTGGTTATTCCCGAAAGTTTAGCCAAAGACAAGACGCTTGATCATTTTTATCACAGCTCTAGTCGTACCCCTAACAGGGGCAATGGCTGCAGTCTCCACGGTGATTTTATACCATCATTAACTACCCGCAAGAAGATAGCAAGTCACTAACTGAGCAGTAAACTTAATGTCAGCGCATCGTCAAGCGCCAAGGAATACAATAAAAAATTTTCCGCTTCTGCATTTAAAATTCCCGCAATAGAATTCCCAAGCTCTTCAACACGATGAGTTATGGTCTGTCTTGACAGGCTATTTTTGCAAACACCTAGAAATGCTTCTACATATTGCTCGCGGGCCACGAGTTGGACGACCCTGGTCTACAACACCAACTGAATCTAATATTTTACTCCTAAAACCTCAGCGTAACAACAAACAGACTTAAATTACAGAACCCACATCCTACTTAGAGTGAAAACAGACGAAATGAACACACTTCAGCTGAAAACCTATCCCTGGCAAGTTCTGGGCCACAGGCTTCTACATATTTAACATTTTATTATTTTGAAAATTTGTATTGCAAAAATAACTAATATTCATTTGTTCAAATGACTGCTAAAATGTACTGACATTCAAGAAATGGAAAAGCATAGAATCAATTCGGAAGAGGTGCTAAATTTTATCCTGGCTCTACAGCTTTGAGACAGGAATGTGTCAACGTAATGCACACAGACACAGGTGCAATCATAGTTGTTGCTTTCGTTGCTATTTGAAGGTTTTATTTATTTCTTCTGCGGAAGACTCGCCAAGTGACGAAAAATTGACATAACTATGTTTCCTCCAAATGTTTTAGAATTATTGCAAGAATTATTTGTTTGTTAAGCTTAAGTTAACCGGGTTCCACATATTTGTTGGACACAAAGGCGTAGAATAAAGCACTGCTGCAACCTTGACTTGACAACACTTTTACTATAATCCTATCCATAACAGTTGTTTGTCTTCATGACCTGAACAATAAAAATACAGGGTTAAAGATAGTATATTGATGAAGTGCGCTAGATATTAAAGAAGCAAATTCGACCTAGGCAATGACTAAAACCGAATAATTTGTATTCGAATTTGTACAGATTTTTTTGTATTCTGAAATGATAGTTTTGAATTACGTAAAATCCAATGTATATTTAATTATATGAATTTGGAAAAGTAAAACAGTAGAGTATTCTTAGTTTTCAGATATTAAATGAAGGCTCTTTTGTCTTCGATTGTGATTGAAGGCTCTTTTGTCTTCGATTGTGATTGCATGTCGAACAACTTTGCTCTACTCTAAAATCATGTGATACTAGTTTTGCCTGCATGTAAAAAGAAATGACTAGAATAAAAGTATCCTCACATTATACGAATAACACAGAATATACACACAAATTAAAAATAATTTTCATTTAACAGCTGATACTACATAAATTTAGGACAGTTCACATACAAATAATATGGCATTTAAATAGTGACAAACTCACAAATTCGCTCTTCCAATAGAGCTGATGAAATTGATCATCATCATGGCACTCAGACAGTTTACTTGACTTGAAACAGCTGTAGAAATAAATGAAAAATCAGAAAACAATGTTACATTAAAGAAATAGTTATGATAGCATGAACCATTGCATTCATAATAAGTTATTGGCAATATATAGTTATCAATATACTCATTCCTGCATTTGGTGAAATTCATGGGCATGGTACTACAATATTCTAATTTCATTTTATATAGCAAGAGTCAGAATCATTAATACCATAAATATCGTACATATGTGCATACAGCATACCAATAACATGCAATATGATTTTACATTGGTGTATATCAAAATATCCACCCAACCTGCTATCTATTCGCTTCTAGCCTATTTTTTTATCCAACTTCGGGAACTTGCAGACTTGTGAATTAGCCGATGACAAGATACATACACCGGGGTACAGTGCAGTAGTGATACATGGATATCGTAGGTAAATCTCAGTTCAGCTCATACACAAAATATAACCAAGAGGAATCTTTTGGGCACTGGTAGATCTAAATATCTGAAAATATATCATTTTTGTTAAAACATTTTGAAGTTTATATTACTGAATTAGGACTAGGAGTATCTGTTCGACGGTACCACTGCGCAACTGCTTACCAACGAAACTATACTAAAATACTGGGCCCTATGTCTGTTTATGACAAGAACCAATATAGCAATATACTACTGGTACAACTGTAGTCTACAATCTAAGCTAAAATAAAACTTCACAAAAACTGCTAAGAAAATCAAAAAAACGCAAATACAGAAATATATCAATACGCCAGGTACCGTATGTATTTACCTTACTAGCCCAAATCCACGTTGTGAATACTTTTGTTCAGGCGTAGTACGGTAGGTACCGGTACAGCACAGGTACCACCGCAAATGCTACATATCGCAGCCTCGTGGTACAGGTATACAATTATTTATTCGTCGTGACGCTTGTACAGAGCTCCCTGCTACTCCATTTGTCGCCCCAGAATACAATATAGATTGTACGGTAAGCGATAACATCCAACACGACAAGCGCCGCAATCCTAATGCACTCGACAAACCGAGTTAAACCACCTCCAGACCAGGTTTAAAAAATCGCCGATTTTAAGTCGAGATTTACGTCACAGAAAGTTAAACCACCTTTTTGATCCGGACTTAAACCGCCGATCCAAAGTTAAACTCCGATTCGAGGTTAAACTACCTTTTTGATCTCCACCCTAATAGACATCTTTTTACATAGCAGCATTAGAACAGCGGACTAGTGTTCGTAGCTTTTTCAATTGACGAATGATTAGAAGTTTGCCAAATTCATGTAGTGATTTAAGACTAGCAAGTATTTCTTGAAGGATTCGATGACTAAAAAGGCATTATGCTATTATATTATGTATTGAAACGAATTTGATTCTCATGTCTTAAAATTCTAACATATGGAATAGTGATGCGCTTGAGCGGTTTCGATTTATCATTTAGTTTTTGATCCTAGCTATGGTTTCTAAGCATTTTCCTGGCATATCCATTTTGCCGTAAGTTTAGACTAGCAAGCATTTCCTGAAGGATTTGATGGCTGAAGAACATTAGGCTATATGACTCTTTCTACAAGGTCTTCTCTGATTCAATTCCAAGTATTTTTTTTGGTGAGGAATATGATTCTGTGTTTACGTTGAGTTAAACAATGTAACGTTTTTTAATTTTCTGATATGTTATAGATAATTTTGTGGTTCAAACATTTGAAATTAATATTGTATAATATCATGCTTGAAATTTGCACTTAGCTACCAAAGTCGGGCAAACAAATTCTTAAGATTGTTGTTTTACGTCTTCGTTAACATTATCAACAGTAAAGCATGCTCCAGTTAATTCTCCTTGTTTTTCACTTCCACTTCGACATTGTCTGCTGCACTGATGCATTTCTTCCCTGATAACCGTCAACATATACCGTCCTCAATCCGCTAGTATTTGTTGGTATTTTGATTGCTTACCTGCAAAGAATAATGACGAAATCTTTGATTTTTGAAAAACTTAGGTGTACAGAGAGAGGAAGGTTAGGTATTGTACAATGCTGTATCTTTCTGTTCGATCATTATTATATGCTATGAAAACAACATAAATGGATTCATATGAGTAAATATTTCGTTTGCAATAAAATAATATTCGTGAGTAAAATTTTGCTAGTTGCAATGAGAGAAAACAGGTAAGATACTGAGAAACTTGAATCTTACTATAGATAGAAGACTTCTGCGATACGAGAGTGATATCTTAGTCACATACAATTGCTTTGAAGATTTAAAAAACACTTTGAACGTTTCTTTTTGTCAAATTTTGTCCAATTAATCAATGAAGCCAACTAGTCCTATAAACCTCTCTTAATAACGGCCTCAGGTTAACAGTATGTTACTACTACGCAGTAGGGATCGTGAGCGCTGAGGTTAGTTCGGTAAAGAGTTGTTCCTTTATTCAACTTTGATACCAAATCAATGAGCCAAATATATCATTTGTAACTTAATAAACTTCTATGAATCATTAATAACTGGCATTGTGCTTCGCACATGCGGCCCATTGGCTCGTTTCATTGGAATATATGCGAATAGCAGTCGACGCAACAGCATCCGCAGAATCATTTTCTCTTCTGGCTTCTGGTGCTTGTTATTTACGAGTCATCTTATCCGACCTCTACATTGCGGAGATTACTATAGTTGATTCGTTGATAACGCACCTCTGCTCCTGCAAGCCACTGCCCCACCGTGAGGGTCGGACTCTATTGGTGAGCCTATTTACTAGGTCTTGATGAGCGATCAGTAGATGTGAAGCGGAATTAAACCAACAGTTGTTGAAAACGTTCTGCAAGGAGGATGTTTTTTTGTTTTGTTTTTGGTAGCATTGATCTGTTATGGTACTAGCAGCATGTACTGAACGATAATCTGCTGTGGAAGAATAGTTGAAAATACTATAAGGAACTCGGTACCTTATTACCTCGGTAGGTTTGCATCGCATTGTCTATTTGAAATGTCTTTACATTCTGTAGGCAATTACCGCGTCCTGGAGGAGTGCTTTTCCTTGTTTTTAAAACCTATTAAGTTCTTTCCATGTGAGGATTCGAACGCGATTCGATTTTTCGGTATTTAATTGAAATTGGCGTATTTCAACCAAGACTCTGACAAACAGTCGTTTTCACTACACAGTTTCCAAATTTTTTCATATTTAGTTCCCGACACAGATCTACAGCCATGAGGAATAAGTTTTTCTGGCTGCAATCATCCTGTGGGTTTTTGCACATCTTCAGTCTCTTCTCCTGGATCCTGGGAGAAATTTGGGACACCTCATTTTGAAACTCCTTAATATCCTCAAGACTTGTTGCCATGATCCCTAGTGGCATAAAGCTGAGCTGAACGTTTCATAAGCTCTTCTTGCTTTGCCTGGAGAGATGTGATGCCAGAATCTTTTTTCGAGTAATTGATATTTGATTGCAAATTGAATCAACTGATTAGGAACTCCAGCAAAACCGGATTCAAAATTACCCGTTCGATATAGTACGATAATAGGGGACAACCATCCTTGGGGAGTACAGAGGACGAGAATGAATCTTTATATCGATATATTACTTGCCTTTTATCCAGGTACACTGATACCCTTTTATCCAGGTACACTGATACCCTTTTCTTCCCGAAGGCTTCTTTGGCAGCGAGTAGCTTGTGCCTAGACTCTGTGATTGACAGACCACTGCTTTTCAGATCGTTTTTACTACCGTATATTAAATTTTTTGTCTCATCTTTGGACAAATTTAATGATAATAGGGTTCTTCGGGGATTTTGATCTTAACTTATGAGTAATATCGACATCGGGTTTAACAATAGAATAGTCGAGCTTTTGGGCATCATTAATACTTCTTATAATTTTCTACAGTTTCATGTTTTGTATTTGTTGTGATGGCATAAAACTTAAGAATTTTTGCTACACTAACAAGCATGTTATTTTGCATGGATTCTAATGAATTTTTAGTGCTTAGTTCTTAAACATATTCGACGCCGATGTTGGTGGAAATGAGAGGCCATTCAGCTTTCATTTTGTAGACATCCGAGGATCCCTCCTCTGAGAAAAGTGAAAATTGATTTCATTAAATTCTGCGCATGTTTCTTTTTATCAAATTTTCTTCCATCATGGTTTGGATTTCTTTTTTAAAGTTAGTGATGTCATCAAGTGACCGGTTACTTTCTGGGGAGCACACCCTTGAGCTGGCCGCTTCAATTTTGGGGCTCGTTTTGTTACTAATGATTTTGATATAATCAACATCAGAATTAAACGATGTACTGAAAGATTAAAAAGAATAGGGACCGGGGGAGCTGTTGCAGGCAGAATGGATGAATCGCGTGTTGAGAATTGGCGAACATCGCTATTCGTTGAAACATGTTGGATCAACCAAAACGTGTTGAATTGGCCTGTTCCGAGCATGTTCTTTCAACCTATTACAACAGTCTATGTTCGTTTCAACCATAGGAATTTGCCTTCCACCCATAAATTTGCCGAGAGAGCAATGCTCAAATCGTTAGCAGTACAGTTAGGCCGGAGGGCACAGAGTTGCTAAAAAGTTCAGTGAATATTGAATACAAATGCAGTTTTCACATTAAATTGAATCTATACTTTTATTAGAATTTTGGTGTCTGAATTTGATAAAATACTGACTTTCTAGCAAAGTCTTTTATCCAAGTACTGAAATTTTGGTTCATTAGTTATAGAATAAAATAGTTTTAAGTCTATGGTCAGGCTTAAGGTTTGTGCATAATATATATTTTTTATTTCAGACATCGCATCAGTGACATCTGGGTTAAAAGATATGAACAAGAAAGTCATGGTCTAGCGATACAAGTGCTAGAACCAACAGAGTCGCAACCACACCGCAAATTATACATCTCTCGTTCAGATCCCTTGCTCACCACCTCACCCAGGGTATAGATAATTATGTAGTCGAGCAGTAAAGAGAAAATTCCTTTTTTTTTTCTCAAAAATAGTACCACCCCAACACATTTAGTTATCAATGGATAATAAAAAATAATAATACACGTTTTTGTAAGCCTGGAGGGCTGATTTCAGATTATATACACATTCTTGCTAACTACTTGTGCGTTCTACTAGCTAAATATATTGCCTTGCTATTAAAAATACTTAGTTTTAAAATTTGCCCGATTTTCTGTGATAAATCCTGTGTTAATCCAGGTCCTGATCCGGTTTGGCAGATCCAATGACGGTAGTGTAGTTGTTTTATTAGGCCGTGTTCGCTTTTTCACACAATACGGGTCGGAATATCTTCCAGAATCTCCCTACTCGCTGTGGATGATATTAACAACTGAATGAAATGCATAAATATGAGCATCAATTAACTGATATACATTCAAATTTTTGGTACAGAATTATGTACAGGTGTCAAAGTCGAAAGTTTGTTCGTGGCACATTCGGGTGAAATTGTTAGTGCCCAAAGCACAAATCAGAGAATCTGTTTCAAAATGACACTCTTCTAAAAGCTCCTTTGTCCATGCGAAATCCGGCCATCTGATAGGTCGAGTTTACATTCCTTGGGTGCTCTGACAACCTAAACATTTGGACTAAAAGTAATTAATACTTTTGCAATCACGTTTATTTGGCCTAATTTTCTATAGGTTCTATATATATTCTATTTTCTATATTTTAAGGCGTATAACAATGTGCGACACAAAACTTTTCATACATGAATTATTAACGCTTGATAGTGTATATATTTAATTACGCTGCATAAAAACACCTAAAATTCTCAAAGTAATTCCATTGACATACCTGGGGATTTACTAAATTTTGTTCCATTCCTGTCAGTAACTAGGACAGCATGGTTATTATGAGAGATCGTACATCGAATAAATGTTCATTTCCATGGCTTGCTTTTCACACGGAAGCCTGCCTTCATTTTCTTGTCCATAACGGTAATATATCCCAAAACGTATTTACTGAAGGCCCAACTTCAAGTGGATCTTCTGGCAGTCACCAACATCGTTGAACGTTTTCGCACTGTTTTCTGTATCTTGGACCATCAACAAGCATTCGAGCTTGATCGGGTAAAATGCTTGTTTTCGCCTGGAGATTGCCATAAGCCTTCTTAGACGTCCTTGCAGACCTCAACTGTCCTTCGATTTCTTCAATAGTTTTTTTTAGCAGTTAGTGTGCCTTCGATTTCTTCAATAGTTTTT